AATTACATACAAACATGTCCACAAACACATATGGACACATGCAAACACACATGGACACAAACACACAAAACCGCATATATTGATGCACATAAATAAACACGCACACACAAATACACGCACACAAACACATACAAACACATACAAGCACACATACATAACAGTACCCCAAGAAATCACATCTTTTTTAACCTCACACACTAAATCTTCTTATTTTTCACCAAAAAAACATCCATCCATTACTTGCCGGTATGACGTCATAATCCTCCTCAACCTAATGGCATGGTGATTGATGTCACGTGTGAGTGAGTGAGTGAGTGAGAGAGTGAGTGAGTGAGTGAATGAGTGAGTGAGAGAGTGAGTGAGTGAGCGAGTGAGTGAGTGAGTGAGTGAGTGAGTTAGTGAGTGAGAGAATGAGTGAGTGAGTGGGTGAGGAAATACAAGAAACAGAAGAAATACAAAATACAAACAATCATGTCGGTACTGGCAGTGTATTATGAGATAGTTGACGCCTTTTAAGAAAACAATCTGTGAACTACTTACTTTTCAAATGAATGTTCATTAATATCTACGTCATCATCATCGCCACCATCATCGTCGTCGTCATCATCATCATCATTCTTATCATCTTCATCATCATCATCATCGTCGTCATCATCATCATCATCTGTGCAGTCTTGAAAACGGAGAAGACGAATAAGAAAAATTGATCGAACATTTCTTAGAAATAAAAAAATAATTTTCGCTGAAGAGGCGAGGCGTGCTTTTTTTTCACTTTTGTCCAAAAATAAATAAAAATAAAATAAATTGAAAAAAATATCATTCCGACTGCAGCTTCAACAAAAAACGCCTCATTGAAAAACGAAACTAAAAACTCTTTTGTTATCTTTTCAGGAAGCTGGCAAAAAACGAAACGCAAAAAATTTTGTTCTAAACAGTGCAAAATCGCTTGCTGCAATTTTTACCCTAAATGCTTTTGTGTGGTTTTCAGTTGATTTTTGTGTGGTTGCTGCTGCTGTTGCTATTGTAAAAACAAAAAAATACTAAATAATTACAGAAATAGTACTACAGAAAAATAAACCATACGAGTCGTAAGTAAGAATTGAAATCAACAAAAAAAAAATTTGTTCGAAGTTGTTTTGCATGTTATTGCTTCCTGTAAAGGAATGATTTTTCAAGAAGAAAGCAAAGTAAACACGTTATTGCACTTTCCCAGAAATCTCCGTCGTTCTTTACCATTTAGAAATATTCATCTTGGTTCAGAGCACACAGACACAAGGCACGATCACACAGACACACATACACACACACATACACACATGAAAATACACGCACGTACATGCATACACACGTATAAATACACATAAACACATTTACACATCCACTGGTTCGTATGTTCACTTGGAAAAAGGAGCAACACACATAATTTCAAGTACGCTAATGTTTGTACGACATTTATATTCAAGTGTGTGTGTGTGTTTGTGTGTGTATGTGTGTGTTTGTGTGTGTATACGTGTAAGTATGCTTGTATATATATATATTAATAATTTTATGTATATCTATTTAAATCTATATTAATCTGTTTGTGTGACAGTATCATGTATACGCATGGATGTATTTGGCTATATTTGGTTGTACGTGTGTATGAATGTATTTGTATATATGTGTTTTTGTGGCTGTATGTGCATGTGTGTCTGTGTGGTTATACGTGTGGATGTTTGTTTATTTCGCTTCATTACGTGTTTATTTATTTTTTTACTTGCTAGGTTGGAGAAATTAATATTTCTCAGAATTCATCATTAAAACGAATGGAAAAGATGACGACGATGACGATGATGATGACGTGGTGATTATGGTTATTATAGTTATAGAGATGTCACTGATGATGATGATGATGATGATGATGATGGAGGTGGTGATTTAGTTTATTGACGATGATGACGATGATGTTGTTAAGTATGATAAGGATCTTAAAAGTAAGGTGTCAACTGCGATAATGGTGTTTTTGCTGGGTGGTTATGTGGATCCAATAAATCCCCGAGTTTATTATTAAATATAATCAAATCTTAGAAATGAGAAAAATAATTTAATTTTAAAAATTATCTCAATTCTGAAATTAAAAAAAAAATTTTTATGTTCTCAGAAGCAATTAATCATCAGTTGATTTTCTGACTGATGTGTTGAATGGTTGGTTAATAATTATGAATGAATAAATGAATGAATGAGTGGTTGATTGATTGAATTGTTGATTGTTTAGTTAGTTGACTGGCTGCTCATTTATCTGGTTGAAGTTTTCTCAACAAATATTCAATCAATGATTAAATATTTGTAACATAGACGTCTCCATTTTTGATTTTCCTTCTAACAAGTTAACATCCAATTTTTTTTAAATTTACACATACTAACAAAGCCAAGATACGCGCACACAAACAAACACACGCGCACACACACGCACGCATACAAGCATATAAAACATAAACATACACACACACAAACACAGATATACAAACAGACATAAAAACATCCCTACAAAGACACAAAATTCTTTTGAATAGAGTCACATTATATATTGATTGATTGAATTTTTGTCTACATTACATATCTCTCACATGATTGTACTTAGAAATGAAGCGATCACGTCATGACGACAACGATGATGAGGATGACGACGATGACGTAATTTGAAGTCGTTAACACAGCGATCAACGACGTTGATGTCGGATGGACTTGATGCCTTAGATGATGACGACGATGATGACTCAAGTAGCAAATGTTGTGATGATTAATAACAAAGATGATCGCGATGGCACTCATAATAGCAAGCCAGACAGACAGCAGCAGAGACCAGATAATGATTGCGAATGAAACAAACTCATACATCGTTCGTTACGCTTCTGCTCTAATTGTAACAGTTGCTCGTGTTGTTACTCATGTTGTTGTGGTTCTGCGTAATTTAAAATCAATACGGCTGTTTCGCACGTGGGCTTGATAGATAGATAGATAGAAAAAAAGAAAATAATAATTACACACACACCCACGCGCACACACGCACACAGAAATACGCTAAAAACAAGCACATTTACATTGAAATACGCACATTAACGCGCGTGTACACAAAATACGCACATATACGCCGGACATATACCCTCAAACAAGGAGCTCGTGCCTATACGTCCTTATCAGTATTTGCGTCGTTGGATGTTATTGATATGAACTGATGTTTTATGTATGTGTTTCTTTTCGTTGTGTGTATGTATGTGTACAATTGTTTGTATGTGCGTGCGTATGATATATATTTAAATATATATATAAATATAAATATATATATATAAATATATATATATATATATATGTACATGTATGTGTGAGTGCATTTGTGTGTACGTATATATGTATGTATATGTTCACTAATGAAACGTTATCACTGATCTGCAGTAGACAAATTATGTGACGCTCAGCTTAATGGTAAATAAAATAGAGTTTGTTTTTCATTTTCGAGGAAATTATTAACGAAGTTGTGCGGTAGCTGAGTAGAGAGCTACACGCATGTATGTGTGAGTGCATTTGTGTGTACCTGTGTATTTATGTGTGTGTGTGTGTGTGTGTGTGTATGTGTGTGTGTAGTATGTGTTAGTAACGACTAATACAACCATGATGATGTATCAAAAAGTTTATAATAAGTTTTATTTTATTTTTTTTTACTTATTACTCTTCATTTCGTTTATTTGTAAATAAATTCGCATTTTCAAAAGTTTGAAAATTTAGTCAGTGTTAATAAAAACGAAGAAAATAAATATTTTTAATTAAAATTTATCTACATGAAAGGAATGAAATAAATTGAAATTAAGAAGTGCTCAAAACGACACTTAAATCCATTTAAACACAACCGAACTTATAAATGCATTAAAATCATATTCATCACAATTGTACAGAAAATTCGGAAAAAATTTATTCAAAAATAAGCGTTAATTAAATCTATATTTATTTACTTAATTATTTGCAATAAAAGAACAATAAAAAAATTAAATCTTTTTTTATTATAAAAAATGACCTTTTTTTTTATCATCAGAGCTATTTGGCATTTGGCAATAATTATTCTTTATTATTATTATTATTATTATTATTAATGTTATCCTTATTATTAATGCTATCATTATTATTAATGTTATCATTATTATTAATGTTATTATTATTATTATTTTTATTGTCCCCAACTGGTTTGCTCTCAACGAGATGGGCATAATTATAACAGGAAAATAAGTTAATGACACTTACTTACACATCAGTGTGTGTGTGTGCGCGTGTGTGTGTGTACAATATCATCATCCTTACTCATGCTAAAATTCGATTTGAATTTATTGTTAGTAGTAATAACAATAATAACAATAATAATAATAATAATAATAATAAAATGATGAAATGTGATTATGATTGTTCAGTTTGTAGACAGAATGAAATAACGTCGAAGATGCACATCACAATGATGTTAGTGAAAGATGTAAAATAATAATAATAATAACAACAACAATAAATAATAATAGATAATAATAATAATATTATTATTATTATTATATAAATACTAGTCAGAGCCATATAAAATTTAATCACCAGTATATTTTATTATTTCTCTATAAAAACTCTAGTCAGCACGTTCAATCGTTCATTCAATTTCATAGAAATAAGAGCAAACATACGTCATCGTCACACACACACGCACGCACGCACACGCACGCACAAATATACACACACACACGCACACACACACACTCACACCTTTATTTACGAAATCCAGATTCGTGTTCCGCTACTGTTGATATAGTAAATATTTTACATTTTGTTATTTGAAGAGGAATTAACTTGAAATAGAACGAAAAATTGGGTCAAACCTGCTTCAACCATACACTGGGAATTAGGTCAAACATAACATAAACAACTGATAAACAAAAATAATATAAGAAATAAAAACAATCAAAATAATGACAGAAGAATTGCTATATTATCAATTAAACAGAGAATGGATACTGTTGTAGGTAGGTCTTTAGACTTGGAATTGTAGGCAATCTATCGAGACTTCGACCTGCGACAAATTCATTAATTTTTAATCTGACCACGTGAGAGAGGCGAGGAACCGTCAGCCGCATAGGCAGTTGCAGCAGGACTGGCGTGTCGCAACGGCCACTGCTTTCGACCAGGACGTTCTTGTTTGGGTTCTGTGGCGGGTAAGTTTGTTTAGTTGGTTGTTGTTATCCTTCTTTAAATAGGAATGAAAAAAGTTGAAACTTTAAAAGTTCGTTGCCGAGTTATTTAAAAAAATTACATTTAGAAATTGAGTTACGTATCTAATCTTTAACGTATTATCTGAGCAAATAATTTAAAAGAACGTCTACAAATTGTAACTAAACAAGTAAACCTAATTACATTTTAAAAAATAGATTGCTTCTAATCTTTGACGTATTATCACGCTAGGTAGAGAAAGCAATAGTTTTAAAAAATCCAAAAAATTATCATGAAAAACTTTAAAAAGTAATTTGAACAATAAAACAAAAGACTACCGACCATGACGTAATGCTGAACCAAATGCAAGACGCTCTCAAACGTGTGAGCGTATTTCGTCCCGACATCCGTCTCTAGTCCGAAGACACCGTCGTTGAAAAAAATCCTGATAGATGTTGCTCCACGGACTGTTTGCACTCCGAGGGATAAAATATATGCAGGATTTGTGCTATCCCGAATTAAGAATGTACCGAGTTTTTTGTCGGATAATAATCGCCGAGATTCTTCAGAGGTTAGTCGTCCTAGATAGAAGCCGGATTGGAATAAGATGGAAAGATTCTTACGGAGAATTTGTAGTTCGGATTTGGAATAGTTTTTTTGTTGATGTTGTAAATTTTGTGGCTGTTGCTGAAGGGATGTCGGTGAATGGTTTTGGTAGAAATGATCCTGACATGTGCGATCGGTGATGATTTGCGTCGTTCTGGTCCCATGGTCGCTTTGGTCGTCGTCACTGTTGGGGCCGTTAGAAAATGTAGGAAGGTCATCTAGTGACGTCTTATCTTCGTTGATGTTGTTGTGGCTGTTTTGTTCTTTGTTGCCGTTGATGTAGATGTTGTTGCTATTAATGTTATTGCTGTTGCCTTCGTCGTTTTCACCGTTACTGTTATAATCTAAATTCTCATCTTGGTCTAATAAAATTTTAACAAGTCCATATCTGTCTCGTATTTGAGAGAGGAATATGTTGTCAAATAGAATTCGATCAATTGACATTGAATGCCGTCGTTGATGTTGTTGTTGATGTCTTAAAAAGGTCGCACAACTATTATTGCTGTTGTTATTGTAATGGTTGGCGTTTGAAACGTTATGACTACAGTTCAGTAAAGAGTTTTTCTTATTTTTCAAATCTCCATTATTTTTGTGGGTCACACGAGACTGCTCATGTAGAATTGGCGGAGACAGGAGGAGTTGACTAGATTCGCAATATAGATTCGTTCGGTTTGGTTTTTTCAATTTCCTTCGCTTCACTTCTTCCATTAAAAATTTTAATCTGATATTAACTGCAGTGCTATCCGTACGGCCTAAACAGATGTTATCGTTGATGTTATTGTTGTTGTTGTTGCGACAGTTGTTAGTTGATGTTATTGCTGTTGTTGCGTTTGTTAGCGGCGATGTTATTAAGTCTATGTGAGTGTTAATAAATTCGCTAAAAGTAATTAAATTTTGGTAAAAATCAGTTGAAGATCTGCTTGTTTTTTTTTTGTTGTTATCATTGCTGATGTTGTTGTTGATGTCGTTGGGTTGGACTGCATTCATGTTGTTGTTGTTGCAGTTGTTGTTGTTGTTAGAGATATTTTTGTTCGTTTTTGAAGATTTGTTATTTGACTGTACGACTTCAATTCTAGATCTTTTGCAGCACGTAAAATTAGACTCGTTACAGCTGTTTGTGTTGTTGTTGATGTTTTTGACGTTGTTGTTGTTGTTGGAGTTTATAGCGTCGCTGTTTATGTTGTTGTTGTCGTCGTAAGTGGTACTGCCATTCGAAGTATTTCTACATTTTTCAGACTTGTGTTGCTGTCGATTTTGATACAAAGACAGCAAGCAACAGCAACAAAAACACCTGCTGCAACAACAACAATGACATTTTTCAACATTCACATTCTCGCTACCAAGATCAGCGTTATTATGACAAAATTTATCTTTATTACTGCTACCAGATACTATCAAATTACTACTGAGGTTTTTACTTAAAAGTGGAGTGTTATTATCGTTTGTAGTAGAGTATGTATTAGTATTTGGGGCGGTAACAGAGTTTGTTATTTTTGTATCATCAAAAAAAGTGTTTGTCGTTGGAAATGTAACTGTAGTTGTTGTTGTTGGTGGAGGAGGCGGTAGAAAGAAGCTTCTGTTGACGGGAGGTGTGCCATCTTCCATGAAGGACTGATCCCATCCTGATCTGCTACTGGCCATTGGGAATGCTGGGAGTGTCATAAGCTTCATCAAGGGCGAAATATTTTACTGGATTTTAAGTTTCAAATTTTTACGAAACTTCACGCAAACAACAACAAAATATGCGCGATGTAATATTTTAAAATAATAAATTATTAATAATAGTAAAAATGACAATAATACAACGCGTTTTTTAAAACTTGTGTTGTGTATGTTTATTGTTAGTTTAACACTTTAACTTTAATTTAACAGTACGAAACGAATGTAATTATAAATTAATTATATGAAATCCGATTTTTTTTTCTAGTAATTAGTTGATTTTCTATACTCTTGATGTATCCAATAATTTGTTTGATTTTATTTAAAAATTATTAATTAGCAATTTTCGAATATGTACCAAAAATTTATTCATATTTATATTTATATATATATGTGGTGTGTAGATATTTTAGTTAATTAAGCATTATTTTAAAAATATTTTATACTTAATCCATTGATTAAAAAACGGTTACGAATTATTTTTTCTAATTAAACTATTGATAGTCAAATAATCCTAACCGAGAAAAATATACCCAAAAATCCAAACTACACTGAGGTAGAAATAACATGTCTAATTGATAACACACTTAATTTATAAACTACTCTTAATTATTTATTTAACAGGAGAAAAATTTCAATGTGGCATAACATAACAAAACCACGAAAATGTACAAATTTGAAATGAAATCTTCACCGAATGAACACTATAGATTAGATGAACTCTTGAGTTGGTACTCATCATTCAATTTATATCACGAAACCCCATATATTACATACATCAATCTAGCAAGTATACATACAATACCATACATGCATTTACACTAAATTATATGATAACACGGATATATACAAATGTATTGCTATAAATAAATATATATATATGTACATATGTTTGTATATAAATATACTTACTTACACCCAGATACATATATGTGTGTATATGAATATGTAAATCGAATTTCAAAGAAACCTAGCTGTCTTCAATAGAAATAAAAACACGATGTATGTGTGTATTTAAAAATACCTAATATATATTATACTGTGTATGGGTATACATATATAACATACACCACACACACACACACAAATATATATATATATATATATATATATATATATATATATATATATATATATCATTGCACCGATATTTAAATGCCTTAAACAATTGAAAGATTATATTCTTACAATTTATCAGTACAATTTGAAGCCTATTTATTAAATTAATTGATATATGTCAAGACATAATTGTATATGTACATAAACGTGTGTGTGTGTGTGTTGTGTTTCTGTGTGTTTCTATTTAGTTTTAATTACTTTAAATGCACGTAACATTTATCTCAGTTTGCGTTCCTTTGAACCAATTTCTTCCGTTCGTTTCTTCCATTTTATTAGTCATAAATTAATGTTCTCTTGAATCAATATAACTTATATGACAAATATTATCAATAATAATATTAATAATAATAATATCAATAATAATTAATATAACAAAATAATTTGTACGATATGAATAGTAATATAAATAATAATAATTATTATTATTATGGAAAGAAGAGAAGAGGAAGAAGAAGAAGAAGACAGATAACGATAACGATAGCAATTGTATTACTATTATTATTGTTATTATTATTTTTATCATTATTTTTATTATTATTATTATTTTCCTAGCATGTGACAATGGCCTGATTTACGAAGAACAGAACTTCGTTTATTGAAATGCGGCATGACAAAAATATGAAGATGAAAAAGAAATTTTTTTCTAAACATTTTTTTTTTTCTAAAAAAAATTTAATTTCGATTCCAAAGGCTCATTTAATTGCTTTTTATATAGCTGCGAAATTTTCTGTAAATAAAATAATCACGAAATAATAATAACTCAGCGTAAAAATAATGGTGTAGTGGTTAAAGTGCCTGCTACTGATGTTGCAGTGTCCGTGTTCGTGTGCTAAATCCGCCAAACCTTGATTTGTTCGTTTTTGGTTGATACTTTAGAGGAATTTTAGCAAGAGAATAATGATGATAATAATAATAATAATAATATAAATTAATGAGTCAAACTTGGGAGAGTAGCGTTTATTTATGAATCATTTAAAAGTGTATATCGTTCACTCTACTTTCTTCCCCTCCATCAATCATCTATACTTTTATCCATTTTGGTTCGTTCGTTCGTTCGCTCATTCATTCTTTCGTTCGTTTGTTCATTCGAAATTTCATTCATTGGTTCATTGGTTAAAAACATTCCTCCAAAACAATGTTATACCGTTAATTTATATTTATCTGTATGAGTACGTGTGCTTGTGTATGTAACTTCACACACATACACACACACACACACACAAACTTATAATAGAAATTATATAACGTAAAGAGTAATCAACTATTTCCGCATTAAAGAAAGAACGATTTTCATCGAAATAATTAGAAATATGAAATGGTCTTCTACATGAGGGTTAGTTTACTTATAAAATCTTAATAGCAAATCCGTTATTGTAATGTAACAGACGGCACATGAACGTACCAGTCTAACTATCTATCTATATTTACGTATGAAGACGTATACACAACACATCCATACACACACGTACATCATACATTCATAAACACATACAATCAATACAAAAAATATACGTACATTCATACGCATACACGAATACACACACACATACATACACACACACACACATACATACATACACACACACACACACACATACATATATGCTGCACATACACACACGTTCAACCTAAACACTAAACACATTTCATACTGTAAAACAACACAGACACAATATAAACAACATAAAATCTCACTAGAATGAAAATTATTTGAATAAAGTAATGGATTGGATAAACTTTGGTATAAGAATAAATAACGAAAAAGGACACTAACCGTGAATAAATGTATGAATGAAGGAATGACTGAATGTATGAATGAAGGAATGAGTGATTGTCTGAATGAATGAGTGAGTGAGTTATGAAATCGAAAGTAAGTTCTCCTTGGATCCGCAAACAAGGGTGATCATAATGAAAATAATAATAAATAACCGCCATAAAAATTTTCACCGTCATTTTTATTCATTTGTTCTTATTTTTGTAGTGGCTATTATTGTTACTGAAGAACCTCGTAAGAAAAAGTAAAAATATTTTGTAAATCTATATAAACATATCAATACATACATGTCAATGCTGAAATGTGCACTTAAAATATTCACACGCACACACGCACAAAGTCACAAAAACACACACATGCTCTCAAACCAAAAAACGTACACACACATACATATACTCTCAAAAACTCATACACACACACACATACATTTTCCACACACGCTTACAGTTCACAGTGTAATGTAGTAAAACACACATTCACAGACAGATAAAAACACGTACACACACAGAGGCAGGCACACACATGCCACACAAACTCATTACCAAACTAATGAATGCATAATGTAATAATTCATAATACTGTTTAACATTTAGTAACGTTACTTGCAAGCAGGCAATCATAGGCAATATGTCATATGTCATACACTAAGGAATAAATTGGTATGCTTATACAGACACAAACACACACACACACGCAAACACACACACACAGATCTATATATAAATATATAAATGATGTATATATATATATATGTGTGTGTGTGAGTGTGTGTGTATATGTGTGTATGTGCATATTCTAATACCAAATATGTGTATATACAATATTTCTATATTGGATTGTTTATTAATGAGCTTTATTAACATCAAATTGTGTATTTATACACCTATATCTG